ATGGGCTGACAGTAGTGCCTTGCAAAACACGGTAGGGGAGAGGGAGCAGCTTACACAGAACCTGAGGAGATGGTAATTATCCAGAACAGCACGGGAGCACTGAATGGCGCATCATTACAGCAGCCTGTAACAAAACGCTTGAAAAGGTGCAATTGATACACCCTGTCCCGTGTTGACCAACGCCACAACGTGTGAAAAGCAAGTTACCATCAGCACTGGGTGCAACACATTCAAATGTATAATAAGGTTTTGCTGTTCCTAAATTCAGTGATCACATTACAGTTACTAATAAAACAATTATGGTCTTACTGGCGTGACCCAAGAGTCTGTCCTCAGCATGTTCAGTGTTACATGGGATAATAACAGTAACAACAGGGTTTCAAGGATGTTGGAGCAGGGGCAAGGAAAGAGTGCAAAAATAGTGTAGTGCTTAAAAGAGACATCTGGTGAAATATTTCACAACTCAGTTAATTAACAAGATGATTCAATATAAGAAAAAATTACCATCCCAGAGGGATTTTACATGGAAAAATCTAAAAAATGAAATGCCTAACCATGAAATGATTGCCAGAAATCCAAGTTTCTTACAAAATTGAGAGTTCATTGAACTATCTCGCAAATCTGTAAATAAAAAAATTAATTAAATGTTAATTTCCATATTTAACGGTTAATTTGCATCTTACTTGCTGCCATTTTTTTATTGTTCAAAAATGTATTGTTTTTCGGGGGGATCACACTGATGATGCAGAAGTCTCCAAGACTCACAAAAAACTGCCTGCATCAAATATGATACTCAAAGAATTAAGGGGTTAACAAATATGAAATAACAGCATTACAGCCAAAAACCAATAAAAGCCCCTCAGAGGAAAGGTTCTGCAGTGAAAATCCCTACATGGGCTCAGGGATAATTTTTAAAAGTCTAGTGAACTGTTAGCAAAGACAGTGTATCACTCCAACTACAAATGCACTGAGAGTTAAAAATGGTAAATGGCCTGTATTTGTATAGCGCTTTACTAGTCCCTAAGGACCCCAAAGCGCTTTACACGTTCAGTCATCCACCCATTCACACACACCTAAAATTCTAATATGCAAAGAAGAGAAAAACATATAACATAGATCCACAAAAGCTGCTGCCTTCTGAGCTCATCTAAGATAGACTGGGATGAAGCTCTGGAAAATCCAGTGCTCTAACCAATCAAAATTCGAATACTTTGGGGAAATCACGGAGGCTGTGGGCTAAAGAGCACAGGGACAAAAATCAACACCTGTGACAGAGTAGGCATGTGTTATTGCAGTATGGTAAAGGAGCACATTTGTGGATATACAAGTCTTTTAAATGTTTAGGTGATTGAATGCTTAAGCGTGGATGATAAATGATGATGATGTATGTACGCTATGAAAGCCGAGAACGGTTCTGAAGGAATGTCTTTAATATTAATTTCCCAGAAAAAGTGAGAACAGTTGACTAGATCCATATTCGACGCAGTGAAAAACAAACACAAAATGATGCACAAAAAAAAGTATCATAATGGGCTTTTGTGTGGGGAAAAAAGATAAACATTACAGCTCGTTGTCTCATAAGACTTTCATTTAAAACACCACGGCAGAGTCAGACAGCTGTATCTCCTCCTGTCATCTCCTTTTTCCTAAGTGCACAGTGACAACGCAATCTTAATGCTCTTATTTTAGGCTTTTATGTATGTGGTGTGAACATAATGATATACTAGGTGACTTTTTCCTCTCATCCATCTACTGCTAAAAAGCCAAGATCCATATACTGTCACGTCCTTGTTGTTCTCAACTCCACTTTCATTTTACTCGATCACAATGTTTTTTTATCTCCACTCCTGTCAGCCATACAGTAGATACCCTAAAACAGCTCTTTTAAATTCTTTCCCTTCTTTTTATACCATAATCAGAGAAATATTTCAATATACACTAAATTTCCCTCAATTCAGGGCTAACCTGTGATTTTTCTTTCTTTCACGCTCAGATTCTGTGACGCTAAACAAATTTAACTCCCTCATAATCTGAACTGATTGCTTCCTTCCCAAATTTTCATGTCAGTCATAAAACGCCTGTATTGTCACCAGGCTCTTTCTCCACTTGGCCTTCATGCGCCGCGATGAGCTTGGTAACGCTGTCCCAGCAGAGGCCCGAGTGTATATCAGACAACATAAACACAGACATCTGTGTCACAGGGCAGCCGATAGCCTGTAGAGACTCATTCATCTCCTTTTGTCTCTGTCTCTGTTAGGATACAGTCATGCTACTCTGCCTGCACTTGACTGTCTATTCTGTTTGAAAGATTAAAACACAACATTTAGCAGCTCCTCTCCGACACAGATGACCTTTGCATCCCAACCATTCACCTCAACGAGTCCTGCCTCCCATCTTTCCTCGCCCTCCCTGTCTCTCCTCCCCCTCCATCATCTTTCATTCTGTTCCACTCCGACTTCAGGGCAGTATTCCAGGCATAAATACCAACAACAAGGATTTGTCACAGAGCTGCCATTAAATTGCTGTTTTGTTTGTTTTACATGGCATGGTTTATTTCCAGGGGAGAACGCATTTCAATATGGTAAATGCTACTGGCTTAGATATGAATCCCCAGTGTTTTCACTACAATGAATAAAAAGCTTCAGTCTTCTCCGTAGGGAAATTTCAATTTCTAAATTCCTTCATAATGGTTTCACACTTACACAATAAAGAATCAATACAAGGATTAGTAGCAATAGACCAGAACAGTATTATTGTGGATTGTTGGGTTTACAACCAACTCTTTTAGCCATCTCCTTCACTGTGTTCACATCCGTACGGATGGCAGCACCTGTAAAACAACTGGCTGAGCTAAATCGTCTCCTCTTCCCTCTCCTCTTCTCCAGCCTGTTTTCTTCAGTTCTGCCCGACTGCCTTGGCTGATTTAATGACCACACGTAGTTGGACCAGGAGAGAGGCTGGTGCAGAAATTGGAAAAGTGGGAAACATGCAATGGCTATAATCATAGGGAATGTGGTGTAGTTATTAAAACTGAAAGTCAAAAGGCCGGAAACCTTTCATCTGTGAGCTTTGTGCTGAAAGCTGTCATATGGAGAGCGCTGTGTTTAATATACATGTGCACTGTACATAGATGACAATTTAAAAAAATCTGTTAAACTCAATTCTGACTTCTAGAAATCTATTAATTCAAAATAAACAAACATACCAATAACTAGTACCAACTCAGCCATCACTTCTTTGTCACTCAAGAGCAGGTACACAGCCTGTTCAGATGCTTTTACACCTGATAATTAACAGCAGCCCTTTCCCAATGGTTCCACTCACAATTTCCACAGATTAGCTGAGCTGCAGCAATTATGCCAACACCACAGAACAAAATGACTTGCCTCATTTTAATATCTATCACTTTTCCACACTCTTCATTATCTTCCCACTTTTTCCTCTTACGCAAGTTTACCTTTCTTAAACTTTACAGTACTACAGCTTTTTCTTGTCTTTATCCTCTGCTCTGCTTCCTGCCTGAGACCTCATACAACAGTCCAGTACAGTCACCATATCTGCAATTCATTCCTCTATCCCTCATATTGGGTTTCATTTGAGGCTGTCAGTCAAGGCGTCTGTCAGATATGGACTCTCCGTTTCACTATTTTTTTCTCCTATTTTTGAACTTAAAGAATGACAGTGACTCAGAAAGGGCAACTGTCAAATGCGTGCTTTCCCCACATAATGCATGAAACACTGAAATAGTTTCTCTTCAGTTTATCACACGCAGAATATAAAACATGAGATTCTTTGAACAGAAGGTCACGTTCTAACAATCGTTTTAAAGGCTTATGAAACAAGCAAATATAGTTTTTATGGTATATTTTAACATTATAACCAAAGTCACAATAGCATAACAATTATATTTGCACTTACAGTATTAAGCCAGAATATGGGATTACCAAGGCCAAAATGATCTTGCAGTGGATTACAATAAAAGTAGTGACACTCTTTCAGTTCTCAGAGGCACAAAAATCTTGGTGACTGTTTAATTAATTAATCCCGATTAAAATTGCAGCTGCTGGTTACAATGTTTAATCTGAATTATACTGTTTAAGGCAAAAAGATATTACTATATTAGCCTTGATCGCAAGTGATTCATTACTGCTTTGGTAAGAAGCTTGCTCACATAAATAAATACATGAAAACACATATAAAGTGGATTTCTGTCCACTTTATCAGGTTTACAGTTTGAAAGAACTTGATTGGGCTACTCTTTCCTCATAGTCACATATTTCACTTTGCTAGAGGCAAGCATATAAAGATGTCATTCAGCTTCATAACAACCTCAAGTACACAGGCGCTACTATGCAAAGCTGCAGCATCACCTATTTATGAAGCAAATCCACACACACGCATTTATATATATAAAAGTTCTAAGTAAGCGTTGCGTCGCAGCGGTGTTCAGGTGACACATGAATAAGTAAGTGGGCACCGGGGCGCTTCCCAGCAGGCACCTCTAGAGTCGCCAGGGCTACCTGAGATAACACCGTACACCTGACACCTCTGCGCAAGAATGCACCCTACCTCACATGTACGGACTCTTTAGTTACTCTGACAAAATAACGTAACAAGAAGATACAGCAGCAACAGTTGGACGGAGGCATTCCAGAAAACGACCCAACTTGAATGAAGTGCAGGTGCTGGTTAATGTCCAACATTTCTGTAAAATTTGACCACATTAAAACATTAATTGCATCACCAGGCAAGTAGTTCCAAAACTCTTCTTTGTGCGGAAATTGAAAACGCACTGCCTCACCAAATGCCGAAGTCAGAGACATATGTGAGCATAAAAAAGTCGCAAATTGCGGCACATGGTGAGTGAAGTGCTAGAGCAGATCACGCAAAACATTATTGATTATGTGGAAAGCTCTCCCCTGTTGCAGTCATCACTCCATTTCTGCTTTGTGTCCACAAACTCATAACTGTGTGATCATGTCATTATCATATTGTCCTACCTTCCTCGTCCGTGTCCGTCGCTGGCTGGGCGCCTTTAGACTCGATTGCCTGTCCTGCTGTGATGCGTTACCAAGTATCTGCTCCCCTCTCCCTCTCTCCTTTCTCCCCTCTCCCTCTCTCTCTCCGTGTCTCTCCCGTTAGCTTTACTCTATCACCACCAACGCCCCGGTGATTGCAAATTTCAAATCTCAGTGTTCAAAATTGCCACTGCAAACCCACCAAGCGCAGCATAAATCATCTCTTCTCCGAAGCTCCCATAATGTCCAGCGTTATACTCACTGCTCCATAGCCAGGGTAGCACTCCAACAGGCACCATAACTTTTAAATATTTTTTCTTTCACATTTTTTCACCTGCTTTTCGCATAAGCCCCCGAGCACAAATCCTTTCCCATATGTCACCACATGATTTGCATATTATGCTTTTATTGGGGCATTGACTGACTGCAGCTTCTTTTGCAAAAGCAAGCATACAGGAATGGCCCGGCTGCTGCGTTTAGGTCAATGGAAAAATGTAAAACAGATATTTTGAAAATCATCTGCGCGCTTCACCAAAGCAGAATGAATTTGGTGCGATTACACAGATCTGTTTATGAGCTTCTACATAAGCTCATGAGCTGATATATCGCACAGATTAAATTTGATATCAGTTAATCACAGAGCTCATTGATAAGAGGCGAATAGTCAGTGCGATACCACCACCTAGTGTACATTATAGGAATTACACGTATTACATATTATAAGAATTGTCGAAATAAGGCAACCTGTGACACCTACATGAGAAAATTATTGGGTTTCTCTCTTTAGTATTATAGAGGCTTTTTTTTTTTACCCTAAAATTATAATTCCACGAATTATAACTGTAATATCAAAGATTTGTTTTTAAATGAAAATTTTAATGCAATCTCCTTCTCTCACAGTTTTATTACATTATACTAACTTACTCTCACATTTTTAATTAGTTTGTCTGTACAACACTTTGAATGGATTTTGCTATGTAACGTAAATAGATGTCTTTGATCATTTTCTTTAACTTTCTTGGAAGATCTGCAACTGAAACTATGAGAAATATGTGATGTGTTTCAGCTTTTCTGAAATCAGCACAGCAAAGAAGGACTCATCCAGGCTGGAGAAACTGATCAGGAGGGCTAGCTCTGTGGTCGGCATGAAGCTGGACACTCTGGTGACAGTGGCAGAGAAAAGGACATTAAAGAAACTGATGGACATTATGGACAATGCCAGGCATCCTCTGCACACGGCCATTAACAACCAGAAGAGTCTGTTCAGTGACAGGTTGCTTCTCCCAAAGACAAGAACTAACAGACTTAAAAACTCCTTTGTCCCACACGCCATCAGACTGTTTAACTCCTCTCTGGAGGGGAGAGGGAGGGGAAACAGGAGGACAAAGGAGGGAACAACTAAGCTGTAGTGCCTCTTCACCTCACTGTGCAATACCTTTTGTGCAATACTTTTGTAAATAGTCAACAGTGCAATAGACTCAATACTTGAAATGTGCAATTCACTTGTATTTTTATTTTTATTCCTATTTATTCTATTTATCCCCTTCGTATATTTTATTTATATTGTCTCTGTATTTATATATATGTGTGTGTGTATAACTCTGTAACTTCTGTCGGTGCTGTGCTTTTTTGGAAATCGAATTTCCCAGAGGAACCCACCCGAGGGATTAATAAAGTTCTATCTTATCTTATCTTATCTTATCTTATCTTATCTTATCTTATCTTATCTTATCTTATCTTATCTTATCTTATCTTATCTTATCTTATCTTAAATCAGTAACACTAGCAGGTGCCTGCCAAAAAGAAGCTGAAACTTGGTTCTGCTAATATATGCCATATGAATATGGCATATATTAGCGTATATTAGCCAAGGGCAAGAATAACCCCTTTATTACCAGGCCGGTGATATATAGAACACTTGCCTCCATCAAGAGACTGCAGAATTCACTGCAACATGTGACTACACAAGGGCTATAGATCACACTGTACCTGTGCAAATATAGGACTGTATTAAACTTTTGAACTACCCCTCATTTTTTTTATATTTTGCTTCCAAGGAGCCAGATTTTCTAATACATTTTTAAAGTGGTCTTCAGCAATAGTTCTCCAGGCTTTGTGAAGTTTTTTTTACCTCACCATTTTCAGGTCAAGTGTATTTATTAAGACACTTAACACTGCCTGAGTCATTCAAGCACAAAAAGGGTACCTAATGCAATGGATGAACACAGCAAAGAACCAATTTTAAATTGTATCTTTAGGCACTTTGTTACTATCGGCCTCTCTGGAATTTCTTTTTTGTATTTTGTTTTTTTTCCCCATTTCTTTAGCTGAATAGAAAATTCGACAGCCATAAAATTCCCAGATTCCCAGAGAACTATTAGCCAGAAAACTTGGCATATTTTGACATGGATTGCAGTGTAGATTTTAAAAAAAATCTGAGGAAACTTGATGGGTGGAAGACAAAATAAGAAGTGGCAGGTGAAAGAAACTGTCTACATCAAAGACTTGTAATGTGACCTCAGATCAAATGAAATGTTGATTCCACTCTCAGTGGAAGAGTGACCATCATATAGCCGTTCCTAACAAATGGAAACAGAGACAAAAGGCTCAGGTATGCCAAAATACACAAAAACTAGACTGAAAATCAGTGGCATCACTCTTATGGAGTGGACTGGAGAAGTCAGCAGAGACACACGGCCAGTGCAGTGAAAGCCTACCTGGACAGTAAACAAACAATGGAACTCCCTCAGTCATGAATTGGCCTCCTCAGTGGCGGGACATCGACATTACTGAAGCAGTGTGGGATCATCTGGACAGAGAACAGAACAAAAGGCAGCCAACATCCAAAGAAGAGCTTTGTGCGTCCTTCAGGAAGCCTGGAGGACTATTCCTGAAGACTACTTGAGAGAGTTCAGGCTGTGTTTAAAAACAAAGGTGGTCCTACCAAATTTCCCCTTTTAATCTCTTTAGAATTGAAAAGTCTTTGCCATATATGCTTTATTTTAATTTATGTTTGCCTGTGTTTTATTACACCCTCTGTACCTATTTCTGAATTTCTATCAATAGTATTTTTGGACAATAGCATCTACAATACTGCACTGTGCCGACATGACAAGACTATCATAACAGTGCCTCCGGTTGTGTGTGCAGGTGTTTTATTTTGAACTTTAGATTATTGAGGATCAAATGCCTCAGGATAGATATCAAATAAATAAAACTTTCTTATTTGTGTCCTACCAAAAGGAAACACACATGAAAACCAGTCTGGGAGTGATTTAGAGTTTGCTTGTTTGTGTTCAGGTAAATATGCTGCTGTTCTGAGGATATTTGTTTTTCTTTTAAAATACAAGTGATACAGGCATGGAGCCTAAAAACAGAAACATACAGTTTCAACTATTTTCTAACTAGGATTCAGTGATATTTTGCTGCTCTCTAGTGACCATTTTGCAAAACTACACTTAAAGTAAATGTTCTGCTGTTTCAATTTGACTGCCACAAAAATCAAAATTATTATTTTTTATCATTATCATCATCATCATTATTATTATTATTATTGTTATTGTTATTATTATTGAACAGGCAGTCTCAACATTTGTAATATGCCTTTTTAAGCTTTCCCATCACGTTCTTGTCTAACAAATATCTGACCAAGATAACACTTATCAAGACACTGATGCTAATGAAAACACATGCTAATGCTTTCCAGTTACACTTTTATTTTATGATCAATATTGCTAACGTGGTTAACACAGGCCAAGAAAACCCGAGTCACTGCGTCAAGTATGAGCCAAGGAAGAAATAAAAATCCAATATTCTTACAAAAACAAATCCTTGCCAGAATGATAACACGCTTACCTTTAACACATTTTCAGAAACAGGAACTGTTGTAACCTGAAGGCATTTCAAGTATTAGCAGCATGTCCTTTCTATGGCAGCCATTTTTATTTGTCATACCAAGACTATCACAGTTGAACAAATAAAATTGATGATGGCTGTTAGTTTGTGTTACATTCCAAGTTAGCCATGTTAGTGGAAACGCACACTTCTAAGGTATAACCGGAATGACACCATTGTAAACAATACAAGAGGCTTAGAGTGCAGTTTAAACTGTGTGTAGCATTCTCTGAATGAACAAGTTGTAGCATATACCTAGAGCAAAACAAGACATTAAAATAAGATAAGATAAGATAAGATAAGATAACCTTTATTAGTCCCACACGTGGGAAATTTGTTTTGTCACAGCAGGAAGTGGACAGTGCAAAAGTTATGAGGCAAAAATTAGAATACAATAAGAATAAATACAGTACACAACTGTACAGAATAGAATAAAATAAAATACTATATACAGTAGAATAAAATAAAATAAATATACAATAAGATAAAAATAGAATACAAATACAAATACTATATACAACTGAGTAAAAATACAACGATGACAGAAAGGATTATTGCACTTAGTGTTATTGCATATGTGTGGATGTGTGTGCTTGATCAGTTAAAGTCTTTATTATGGAGTCTGACAGCAGTGGGGAGGAAAGACCTGCGAAATCTCTCCGTCCCACACTGTGGGTGCCGCAGTCTCCCACTGAAGGAGCTGCTCAGTGCTGTCACAGTCTGCTGCATGGGGTGGGAGATGTTGTCCATCAGGGATGACAGCTTAGCCGCTGTTCTCCTGTCACTCACCACCTCCACTGGGTCCAGAGGGCATCCTAGAACAGAGCTGGCCCTTCGGATCACCCTGTTCAGTCTCTTCCTGTCCCCAGCAGAGATGCTGCCGCCCCAGCAGACCACGCCATAAAAGATAGCAGAAGCCACAACAGAGTCATAGAATTTCTTCAGGAGTGGGCCCTCCACTCCAAACGACCTGAGTCTCCGCAGCAGGTACAGCCTGCTCTGCCCTTTCCTGTAGAGGGCGTCTGAATTATGAGTCCAGTCCAGTCTATTGTTCAGATGAACACCAAGGTACCTGTAGCTGTCCACAGCCTCAATGTCCATACCTTGGATGTTC